ATCTCAGCCGACCCCGGTCCCGGCCCCGGCCCGCAGAGCCGAGTCGTCCCCCTCCACCAGTGCTTGTCACGCACCGCTGATACTTCGCTCTGCCGTTTCGCGGTGCCGCTTCGTTCTGCTCCTTTCTATCCTTTCTGTTTTCCTCCCGCAGTGCCTGGGTGAGGGCCGAGCTATTAGCCCCCAGCTGCCGCCGCAGCTCCAGGCACTGCCGGGCCCTCAGCATCTGGCACCTTTGCCTTCGTTTTCACCTCAACTCCTATCTTTTTTGCTAAATATAGCATACATTTGAGCGTCGTTCGCTCAACTGCGGATACCGCGTATCTCATACTGTCTGCTGAATATTTTGCAAGCGCTTGCTTCAACTCACCGCCTCTTTGGGCTTCGCCTCTGTGGGCTCCTGAAACTGCGGCCCGCAGTACCACAGCCAGTCAGCAGACACCTCGCCTTTTCGCCACAGCAACAATCTTCCGATACGGATATGTGCTGTCAATCACTGGACTCTGTATATTCCGAACTCCGTTCCCAGACGAAATTCCTCACACGGGGCACCAGATGTAACACGTGCGAGAACTCCAAAGGAAACTTCGTCTCCACCAATATGATGTCGGAAGTTTCATCTTTATTGGAAATTACACTTACTTTTATATAATTCAATAACTACCACATATTTGACTACTTAACCTATTATTGGTCACACACACAAAACATACACTGTTCACACGATTATTATTGGTTAGTCAACATATCTTATTTTCTAAATTCTTCTCCTTCTAAATCTAACTACAACGCTTCTATTCCCATGCCTCCTGGCAGGTTCAGCTTAAACTCCCTTCTGCAGGTGCTGTTTTTCTCATCCCTGTAGATGTCCAGTCCTTGTCGTGTTCTCAAAACACTTAGTCCTTGAGACTCCTCAGATTCCCATCAGCTGTTTTACTCCTGCCTTAACCCAAAAGGTTTCTAATTCTCCTACAATAAAGCATGGTATTTTTTTTCTCAGATGGAAGAAGTGCAATAGATCTAGTTTGTCAGATGTCAATAAAACATTTTATATAGTGTAATGATGGAAGTTATTAGCTAAACCAGGAAAGACAGCGTTTAAGAGAAGAATTGCGAAGCGAGTTGTGAACTGTCAAACTGAGTTGCCTCTCAATTTATACTGATGGGCTAATGACTGGCTGAGAGACCTGAGTTGCTCAGAGATCAGTGCCAGAGATAATTCTATTTAATGCTTCTACCTTGGCTAAAAACTAGGAATATCTTGCTGAAATGTGCTAATGATACAGATTCAGCCTAGAAAAATAAGTGGAAGTTACAGTAGAGGGTGAGAGAAGATTTCCTTATAAAGATGGAAGTCATCTATTGGAAGTGATGAAAAGAAGATGGGTGGGAATGTACTGAAGGTGTTTAATGCATTGAGCATTATCAGGATGACTGAGCCACTATTCTTCGGCAGTCAGCAAAATTATTAAGCAAAATAATTTCAGTAGAGAAATACAAAAACGTTGATCAACTCTGAAATCACAAAACATTGATTAGACCTCCTCTAGAATACACAGGAGAATGCAAGTGCAAGCAGGGCTATGAGAAAGAGCTATAGAAAATCTCTTTTCCAACAAGAGACTTGTTCTCACAAAATCACAGACTAAGAACAGTTCCAATTGCTCTCTTCAAACTATTCAGATATAAATATCAAAGGAAAGCAAAAGTTGTTTGAGGCACAAGGCAATCTTACAAAAAAAATACCAAACAAATCAGCATCTGTAAACTCTTTATGCATAAATTTTGTGTGGAAATTAAAAGAAAGTATATCACACTTGAAAGGACAAAGTTCTAGACTTGCCTTTCAGAAGGAGCCATAGAACAAGAAAGTTCTCAAAATAGAATCAGCAACATTTTGTTGGAAACAGTTCTTAAAATGTAGGTGTATACAATGGGAAGACATAGAACTCAGTGATGACGAACTTACTTCCAGTTCTGTTTTGTGATGATTTCTAACTTCAAAGCCTACTTCTGGAGGGAAGTTTTGAAGGCTTGTTTTGTTGTATTTTGTTTTGTATTGCTTTTTATGTAATTCACCCTCATTCATAAAGGAGACTAAAGAATTTAATTGGCTAGAAACATAGTCTTTTAATACAAAAGACCTGCAAATTGTTGATTTTGCGTGTACGTATTTTGAGTCTAGACTGAATTATAAACATAAGGTAGATAAACTATATGATTGTATCTGCTTAAATATACAAATTTCTCTAGGAAGATGTATATGGACATTTTTATATTATTCTCATTCTATAGAAACAAAAGTGTTTGAAAAATAATGGAGTTTACAGTGATAAACCGTATTTTCATGATACATCTACTGAATTCAAAGAGGGTTTTTTTGTAATATCTACATTCTGGATACTTAGCATTTCCTGTAAACTCTATTATAGCAGGTAAGGTCTGCCCAAAAAGTGGACAGATGAGCATCAGATTATGTTAGATGAGTTTTCTAATGTATTTAAAAGAAAATAAATGTTATAATTCTAGCTGATAAAATAAACTAAAAAAATAGTGAGAAGAGAGGGAGAACTTTGGGAAATGATCCTATAGTTTGATTTAAACTTCAGTATACACTAATACTAAGATATTGTTTACTCCCTTCTTCTAACTACATCATCTTTAGAACAGGAAAAAATCTGATGAGTAAAAAAGAAATTTTGCAGATGCAGACTACACTGGTCCAACCATCATAGCGGAAACATAAAATTAATATCAAGGAGTTTGCTCAATATATCTGGTTTTATGACTTAATACACTCCATTAAATGATACAGATAAATATCTGTTTTTCATTTTTCTGAAGATAAATTCATTTGCCTCAGTTACACAGTCAATAATGCAGTATCTTTACTAGTTATGCTGCAATAAAAGTAAGCTATACTGCACTAAAATATGAAACTAGTTGCTAGCATTATGTATGAGACTTCGTATAAGTAGCTAGTGAAATTTATATAGGAAAATGTGTGGTTTGATCATTGAAAAATTACTTTTCAAATATTGTATGTTCAGTGTAAAAGAAGTGGAAAATACATAAAAGCAAGTTATTCTGAAAGGTTGGGAAAAATACAAAACCATAGTCAGATTTAAGTTATTTATATCCTTGAATAGAAGTTACTTTTATGAGATTATTTTTGAAATGTCATTCCTCTTTGCTTTCCCTATTCTTTTACCCACCAGCTATGGATTCATGTAAATTGTTAATTGTTTGGATGTTTAGAAATGTACTATTATATGCCCTCGTTTTCCTTCTGCAGTGTTGAGAACATAACTGAATAGGAGTAATCAGCTCTATCTGTTCATTTAGCCTTCCACACTTACAAAACTAAATGAATTCATTTAAACCATGTTGAAAACATAATTTATTGAGTTGTGATAATTGCCTCAGGTAGTTTCACTGAATTTTACTGTGAAAAGAAAACTTTTAATTGTTTTGGTTTTTGTTTTAGAGGAGCATTTCTTTAAGAGCTATTTTTAACCAAACCAGTATTTTCTGATCTTTGGAAAAGAATGGCTAGCCTTGAATAATAAAGGCTGATATAGGATATAAGACAGCTATACTGTGTATATTCTGAGGTACTTGTACTGGCATGCATAAAACAAAAAATAGTTTCTAACTGTGAGTACACAATGTTCAAATCTCTAATGTATATTGTGACATAAGATATTCTTGGTTATATACATTATATATATATATTTATATATAAAATATATATAATACTATCTTGCAGCTGTTAATTGGAACTTGAGGAAATAGGAGACCATAAGTTTGTAGGGCGATGACACAGACACTTCCATTTTCAATAGATTTCTACATAGGAAAACAAAGCTTTCCTCGTATGGTGTTTATGAAAGTATTTTTAACTATCTTAGGAATACAATGAACTTCAGATTTATCCTTATCTTAAAGATAAGGATACTTAATTTTTAATACATTTGTGAAAGTATTTTGTTTTTCTAATAGTGGGTCCTCTAGTTTTGATTTTTTAATGTTATAATAAAAAAAATGTAGATTTGACCAAATGAAAATGAGAGAAAAGCTCCTTTAGTTCTTGATCAAAAATACAGAGCCTGTACTGAGTCTGATTGCAATAAAGTTAATAATAAAAAAAATTCTTTGAAATGGTATTTCAAAGCCCTTTCAAAGAAAAGAAATTTAATAGTTTCAGAGGTTAAAGTACATGATAATTCCCATTTTTTACTACATTTGATAAAACAGGACCTGGCTAAACTCAAATCTTTGAAATCGCATTGAGATAATATTTGAACCAATAAATATATGTTCTGCTATAACTTTGACTTTTTGCTGTTCATCTTTTTCTTTTGCTTTCCTTTGACTCTCCAGTAAGAGTGTAGCTGGAGAAGAAAAGCAGCTGTGTGGGAGAAAGGTGAAGAATTCTTACCACAAATTCCTGAGAAGAAAACACTTATACAGCTCTTATAGTGAAGCCTATTGTTTGTTTTAATAACGCAGCATTACTAATTTCATTCCATCCTAGCCATGGGCAACCTCCCTCTCCTTTATCCCATTGCTGACAACAGAAAGACAAATAGCAACTCAGTGGCATTTTGTTTTTAACTTTCAGTCAGCTGTGGGACTGGACTCCTCGAGGCGTGACACCACCTGCACAGCAGGAGGAGGTGTGACTTGTGATGTTCTTTTTGTTTTGACAGCTCAGTACCAGTCATATGTAACATAAAACCCTGATTTATGATGGGTGACTCTATTCCACCTTTACTGTGCTTTTTTACTGTTTGTAAAAAGGATGCAGCAAAGCCTTGATGAATCGTCTTTTATGCCAGTTGTGTGTTCAGATATAAATTCCGTTAATCTGCCTAAAATAACGAGCATTAATTACCAGACAAGGACATGATACTCTGCTTGTGCAGCTCAAAATTTAGCTTTATGTAAATCTGGATGCTTATTTATGTTTTTCCTTCTGTCTTTGCATCTCCTCCTGACAGGTGTGTGCCAAATCACTGCGAACACGGTGGAAAATGCACCCAGACGTGGGACAGCTTCAAGTGCACTTGTGATGGAACCGGATACAGTGGCGCCACTTGTCATAACTGTAAGCCATCCTGCAGTTTCAAAATGTCAATAGAGGAGGGAAGGCACTTACGTGTTTTGGTTGAGATAAAAAGCCCAAGCCTCCTTTTCTGGTTGTTAAAGATCCTCAAACCTCTTTTGAAAGAAGGTGTTGGTTTAATCATCCTCCACTTTGTCTGCATAAGGATGTATTTATGTAGCACTGTGCTGCACCACACAAGGGATCAAAGCACTACAGATGTGTTAGTTGGGTGCACTGAGCAAACACATTCTCAGCAATTGCACATGAGGTAGAGTTTCAAATGGACACAGTGAATCTGCTACTGGGGAGAGCTGCTGACTGCTGTTACAGATATTTTTTCGGGTTGCTAATCGCAGAGTGTGTTTATACACTGATTATCAACCATTTTAAAATCTAATTATTTGCACTGTGTTCATGGGTTTCTCAAATAAGAATATTTTCTATGAGCTCCACATACCCTACACTATTAAAGCACAGAAAGGTACAGTTGCTCTTTTAATAGGTACCAAACAATGCATACTGAGTCAGTGGCATATATCTTCTGTTCCTTCTCTCATATGCTAAAATCTCAGATTTTCATCTGCAAATGTGTTCTAAAATACCTAGAAGATAGAGAAAACATATCCAGTCCTTACTTTCATCACTTCTTTCTTTTGCTAAAAATCTCCTAATATTGACAAAAGAGAAAAAATGCTTTTGAACAGGTGAAAAGTTGAGATTGAAGCCAGGATTTATAGAGATACAAATTTATGATATTTTTTTATTTACCTTATCTACAGCTGTGTAAAATTTTTAAAAGAAAATTGCAGAGTTGCTTTATTTTTAACCAAAAAAACCAAACTAATGAGAAAACTTTGACCATTCACGGTTGTCTGGATTGTAACAAAAACCAATTTTATGGATAAAAATTATAAAAATATGTGCAGGGATATATTTTGTATATATCTATGATATATAATAACTATATATGTGTATGTATATACACATTTGATGGCAAAGTTCTCTGTGATCTCGCTACTGAAATGGTAAAACTGAAAGGGCTAAATGGCAAATGAATGTTAATCAAAGAGAAATATTAATATTTAAGATACCAATGTTTTGAGGAGAGATTTCATGGCAACCTTTTTTCTACCAGGAAAGAATGTGTATAGTGATGGTGTGGTTGCATCTAATCTTTGGAAAGAAAACTCAGAATTTACGGTGATTCAATATTTCAGTGAAAAAAAAGAATAAAAGTTCATTTCTTTTTCTGAAAGTATTATATTTTTAGAGCTTTTCTGATCTATTACAGCCACTCAAAAAACATGATTCCTACATATGTGATAGGCTAAGTTGCTTAACTGCAGAAATGCAGGGATGGAAGTTCAGTTGAGTTTCTTTTCTCTAGTGAACTTCCTAAAGTATCATCTTTAAGATGAAAATGTATTATGTTGGACTGCTGCAGCTGCATTCCCCCAGGTCCAACCAGTAGCAAGGTTATAAAAGTATTCCCGGTAGGCGTGCATCCAACAGAGCCCATGTACTCTGAGTATATTTATATTTATATATATATATATATACACACACACACACCTGACTGGCTGATCAGATCACAGAGCACACACATGACCATGGCACCCATGGCCTCATCCTGCTCACTTCTCTGGTTGAGCAGGTTGCATGTCCATAGAACAGTGAACACCCTTCTTCACGCAGAGTGAATCCCTCCACCAGCTCAGCTCAGGCACTCAGCCCAGTGGCTGGCCCTGGAGTCCAGACTCCTCAGTTCCTGATACCTGGATGTTGGATGGTGCAGCAGGGTACTTTTTTGGGCTCATCCTCCTGCCATTGTCTGTCTGTGCTCCTTTGTGCCTTCTTCTTGAGTTCCAAAGGGAAGTAGCAAGGACAAGCGGATGGCATCACTTGTCTGAAATCCCATTTATTACAAAGGAACAAAATCATAATCCAAGGAGATGTGACATTTCATTTAATAGGATTTTCACCTGCCTTTTATGGATAAAACAATGCAATAAGACAAGTAAAAGGCACTGCTGGACTGCAATATCAAAAGAGGGATTTGGAGTGTATTTTCCTGACTTTCACTATGGAATGGATAAAGTGTATGGGATTACATACTCTGCCCAGGTCATTTGAAGACACATTGTTCAAGAACTTTTACTTTTTTAAATCAGGCAAAGTTTCTAATGTGGATGTGGAAGCTTTAGTTTTATTACATTTTTGTGTTTAAAGAACATAATCTTAGTTTTTACTGTATGTTGCTGTACCTTAGAAGTCTTCTTTCTTACAAAAGAAGGTCAAGCTGAAAGTTATTCACTTGATAGATGTCCTGTCAGAACGTGTGAAATCTTATGCCTTTCTAGAGTATAGAAGTTAATGCCACAAAAATGAGTGAAATACAAAAATTTGAGCATCAAGATATAGATTGAGACAACCTTAACTCTTCCTTTATTGAGCAGGCAATAGCTATCAGTATTTATAACAGCGTGTTCCAGTATTTGATACAGCTGCAAATGAGGAGGGGATTTGTTAAAGCTTGCCAGAGGTTATGCTGTCTTGAGGTCTGGGACCTCAGCTCTGCTACGATGGTGCTGACCCTCCTGTCCTTTCCTACTTGTGCAGTGCATGTGTATACTCGAACATGCTTGGTGTGCCGCCTTTTGCTTTGAGTTTTGAGGTTTGTGGCAATAGCAGTACAAAAGACATGCTGGGGGAGGAGGGAGTCTGGAATGACTGGCATGTGGTATAAAAATAGCTGAAAGCAATTTTAAACAACATTGCAGATTGTATGAAAAATACAGCAGATGTCATGATTCTATGGAGCAGGAAAGTGTTTAAGTGCAGACAGCACTTGTTCAGTACCATTTTACTTAAAACTAAGATTATTTTACCAAACAAATTATATTATACTCCACAGTAAAATATGGGGCTTTTTCTCCATGTATGCAGGGTATAATAGCATTTCTCAAAGAGGTTGGAGTCAAACCTATGTTAGTGGGGACTGTAACTCCATAGCTGATTTTAATGAGTTTGAGTTTTGTTGAACTTAAAGGAACAAGATAATTCTGTGTTACTGAAGGGGTTTTTTCAGTGAATTGATTTTGCTTTGGTCAGGTAATTCAACACTTTCCTGAGCTTTTGACCTGAAACAAGGCAAAGCTTCGCAGCCTTGACTGAATTTCAGATTGCGGTTTTAGGTTCCTTTGAAGTTGAAATTCAAAGACAAACTTAAGGGATGAACTCCTTGAAGTGAAACAGAGAAAAATGTTTGCATGAAAACCTTATGAATCAAAATTACTTCATTTCACACAAGTCTGGCCATAATATATTTATAGTATGATAGTGAAAACAAAAATTAGTCTAGAGAGATAGAGAAATATGGGGCTTAGACATGCTAGGAACCATAAACCAAAAATAAACAGCTAGAGAAGGAAAAATTCTAAATAAATAAATTTGAAATAAAAACTTAAATTCTTATTATCTCTCCAATTGTGTAAATTAATTACACTTGTTTGCTATTTTAAGATTATGAAATAGTTTGCTTTTCAGAATATGACACTCTTACAGGATGATTCTTCACCTTTCAGAGACACACCAGACACTCCAAGCTCTGTGTCCACTACCTTGTTATTTGTCAGAGGCTTAAGCTGCCATTCAGTAGGAAATCATAATTTGTTTCATCCAGCTACTATTTGTTTCATCAGCTGGGTCCCTGAAGCTCAGTGGTGAATTAACTAAAAATACTGGAAAGTTCTATCTCTCAGTGTATGGTAAATACCCTGGGAAGCTACCAGGTTTCTTTCATCAAGCAGATATTCATGCCCAGGTAAATGCTGTGTCCTGGCAAATATCACACTAGAGCATTGATTTTATTATTAGACAAGACTAAAAGATAAATGAATACATTTACTTAAAAATCATGATTTACGGTGATAAAACATTTACAAAATTATTTAAAAATTAATTAGTAGTGTTATAGTTTGGCAGCAAGTACCATCCTTGCTGCTTTATTATATCAGCTATATTTTAAGCCCTAACTAATTAATATTTACAGCCTACCAAAGGCTGACCTGCCCATGCAGGGTTCTTAGAACAATACTTTTCTAAAGTCTAGTGGTAAATGCTTCCTGAAACCTTTGAGAACAGGGGTTCATTTTCCTTATTACTCCTCTTTTCCATCATGATCTTCAGGTAACACTGCTCTGCTGCACTTTGTACAAGTTATATGTCTAGTTTTAGGCTGTAATGTTCTTCCTGGTGTTTACAGGCTGTTTAATACAGAGGTGTAAGTTACCCTATGTCAGGATAACTAACGGTCACACAAGTTTCTTTGTCTCAGATTTTTAATATATAGGTCGATGCATGCTTTCTCTAGAGTCTGCATATAAGAGAAACCTAGCAAAGGACTTACAGAGTTTACCATGTCTATGATATACCTTCCACCCCCTGCATAAATCTGTTATATTAGGGAAAAGGCCACCTTGTTTGATCATATTGGCCTTCTCTTAATGATTTCCACTAGGAAAAATATTCCGTTTGCACGTAAAAGATTAGTCTTAATTATTATAGAATCATAGAATAGCTTGGTTTGGAAGGAACCTTAGAGTTCTTCTACTTCCAACCCCTCTGCCATGGGCAGGGACACCTTCCAACTAGAGCAGGTTGCTCAGTGTCCCATCCAACCTGTCCTTGAACACTGTCATGGATGTGATACCCACAGCTTCTCTGTGCAACCTGTTATAGTGTCTCACCACCCTCATAGTAGAAGTATTCTTCCTCATATCCAATCTAAGCCTGCCGGCTTTCAGTTTAAAGCCATTCTCCCTTGTCTTACTACTACAAGCCCTTCTAAAAAGTCCCTCTCCAGCTATTCAGTAGGCCCCTTAAGGTACTGAAAGGATTATAAGGTCTCTCAGGAGCCTTCTCTTATGAGAGATAAGTTCTATTTTTCTTTAATTTGACTTCCAAACAAACACTGTCCTTACTTTTACAGGTGTGCAGAT